ATCCTCAGCAAGAGTGGACCAATAGAAATTTCATGAGGTTCCGTAAGGAGAAGTGCAGATGTCCTGCACTTAGGACAGAACAATCCCATGCACCTGTTCTGGCTGGGGATTAACTGGCTAAGCAGCAACTCTGCAGAAAAGGACACAGGGGCTTATAGTAGACAATAAGCAGAATTGAACCAAGTGTGCTCTTGTTGTGAAGAAGACTAACAGCAAACTGGGCTGCATTAGTAGGAGCACTGCCAGCAAATTGAAGTGATTATTCCTCTATTCAGCACTGGTGAAGCCACAACTGAAGTACAGTTGGTCCATCCACTACAGAAAGGATGTGGACAAATCAGGAAAAAAGTCCAGCAGAAAGCAATGAAAATGGTGAGGGGGTCAGGACACAGGACTTTGGAGGAGAGGCTGAGGGAACTGGGCTTACTTAGTCAGGTGAAGAGAAGACTGAGGGGGAGATTTAAAACAGCTTTCAGCTACCTGGAGGGTGATTCCAAAGAGGAGCTGGACTGTTCTCAGTGGTGGTAGATCATAGAATAAGGAGCAGTGGTCTCAAGGTACAGCAAAAGAAGTTTAGGTTGGATATTAGGAAGAACTTCGTCACTAGGAGGGTAGTAAAGCACTGGAACAGGTTATTAATTAGGGTGGTCTTGCTGTGGGGGAGGAGATTGGACTAATGACCTCCCAAGGTCCCTTCCAGCCCTTATTTTCTGTAATTCCATAAAGCGGAATACAATTAGAAAGGTATGGGTTAGTTACACAATAAACAATGTCGCTAGAATGTTTTATGAGATTGAGGGACAATATGGACAACCTGAAGATATCAAATAAATGTAAAATTTAAACACCTTGGACACTTTGTGAGCACGTGAAGCATAACATGATACTACTTCTAAAACCTGAACACCTTTAATGCATCAATAATGACCTCCAACCCTTCCTGGAAAATGAGGACCATCTCAAATGATCCTCATCTCAAATTAGTCCTGGAAAACAAATTTGTTTTGGGTTACTAACAGCTCCCAACTTCACATGATGTCTCTCCAGCAACAGACAATTTAACTCCAAAGTTCAACCACAACCATCATGGTCTTGCTACAAACCCAGATGCCAGTTGCAGTCTCTTATTGACAGACATCACTGGATCAAATAACAGATTATAATGCCCAGCAGTTCATTCACCTAATCCTCTACTACCACCATATACACTTGCCCTCCCCCTCCACCCACTTAATGCCTTTGCCATCTACACTGGACATACAGGATGATCCATATGTGAAAGACTGAATGAACACTTATCTGACAAATCCTACAAATACAAAACCCAGTGGCAGAACATTAACCTCCCTAGGTTTTCCATCACTGACTTCAGAATTGCTGTTCTTATACAACAAAACTTTTAAAAACCATCTCAAACACAACTGTGGAACTGTAAGTCATCTACAGACTGGACTGTGTTAAATTACAGTCCCTATACTATGAATTCTTATCACCTAGACAGGTTTGTATAACCCCATGTCCCACAATGGGTTAGCCGCCTTATTACTACTGATCTATTCAACTCACACACCTCTCAGCAGTGCTCCCTCCCCCTATCCTTTGTACTTAAAATTCCCTTGTATTTAAAACCCCTGCTTTCTGCTAATCTGTTCACACCATCTGACCAAGTAGGTTTCCTAGGAGCGCTTATGTATCTCTGAACCAGTAAATCTGTAAGGTGTCCCCCTTTCTGCCTAAATTCAGACTAATGCAACTACCTCTCTCTAAAGCTTTCCATGACTTGAGAGCTGTTAGCTTTCATGAGCAAGAGCTCATCACAAGTGAGCTGTTACTCACAAAGTTGATCATCTGAATCATCTCTTGATTCAGTTAGTCTGCAAGGTGCATCTCTACCCTACCTTCTGCTTCTCTTTAAAGCTTCTTGTGTTTCATTAAGCTATTTAGAGAGGATGACAATGTAAATTATTAGCTCTTTAATACATTGGCTGGTTTATCAAGGTTTACAAGTCAATCATATGCCTTGAGTTTAAAAATAAATTCCAAATACCATTCCTTGAAAACCTAACACATTTTGGATTGTAAGTTTTTAACCCTCCCAGCTTAACATCCCCAATACATCTCAGAATTGAGCCAATTTTATACTATGCCCATCACCAATAACCAAACACTTTGTGAGTCTTGTATTTCTTCTCAAAATTTATACTGCATAATCTGACAATACCCAAACACAATTCACCTACACAACTCGATGAACTAAGCTGATTAAATATGCTGAGACTGCATCCTACTTTTTCCTTACAACGAATGCAATCATTTTATCTGGTCTTCCCTCTCTCACCCACACTTGTTTCTATCTGTTTAAAAATGTATCTAAAGATATAAACAACTATTGATATGGATCTTACAACATTCTGACTTATCCAGCAGGAATAGGAAACACTATTATTCAATATATGTACTATCCACCACACAGAAGGAAAGAATTCAATTCATGGGATGCACTCAGGACAACATCCACTCCTTTATGGCTGTTTAGTTGGCAAAAGCAATGCTATCAAAAAGAATCCCTGAGTCAGATGATCTGCAAAGCTGGGTTCATATTTGCATTTGTTTTTCTAGCAAAAAGTAAAACATAATGACGACTTCAAAGCAAATGACAAAAAGGACAAGGTATATTCAGCCATCATTGTTTCTTCCTTTCCCCCCCATCATTACTTAAGAATCCCTCCTTTCAGAAGCAAATCCAACTCACCTTAAGACTGGTCCCTGATAAAGTCAATTGGCAGACTGGCATGAATAATAGTTTGCTTCATAAGAAGCAATGTACTTTCACAGAGATGAAATGAGGGACGTTTGAGGGATAATTAAGATTATTACATGGTATAATTTAAAATCATTGAAACATCTCTCCAATACTCTATTTTGACCTGATAAAAAGCAATGTCAATGTCACATTTCATTTTCTAGTTCTGACTATGATGTATCCTAATTTAATCATGCAAGCTTTTAAAGCAATTCAATTCTACATTATTATTTGGACTGAGATAGTTTGGAAATTATTTAGGAACACTGAATTAGAGCAACTGCGGAAATTTAAGAAATGCAGTTCAAGTAAACTGTAGATCTGAAGACATAATGGAACGTACAAGCACCCAGCACAGAGTCAAAATAAAATTCCATGAAAAGTCACACATCTATCTACTTATAACCACGTGTTTCTAAACACATGGCCATAAATTCAGTGGCAAAAGCAAGTAAAAAAATCAACAGAAAACACATTCCTGTTTTTAAAAATCCAACCCAGAAAAGTAAAAAGGAAGATTCCCAGTAACTTCTTCTGGATTTTGGAATCAGATGGAAAAACTAAATAAGAAAATTATTTTGACGTTATCTTGTCAAAATAATTTAAAATCATTTAAGACTAGTAGACTCTTTTTTTTTCTGTTAAAGTGAAGGCTATGTAGGTCAGATCACAGATTTCCATTTACCAAGAGGTATGTAAAAAATTCATACGATACTATTTGCAGTAAGATCATTTATTTTAAACTGTATTAATTGATAAATGAATACATTAAGAGCTATCACTAATGCCTTGTAGAGTGAAGTAAACAACGAAACTGAATCTAGTGGATCTCAAGAAAAGTAGAAATGGAGCCTGAATTACCAGTCTATTCTTCTAACTCAGTAAAATTCCTTCATCAAACTATTTTACAAAATGAAACCTGTTGCTTTATCAGTAAATGATTTTCACATACATTAAGTTTCAGTTGTCATTATCAGAAAACAGCAGTACAACTTTGGAGGTCATATACACATTATTACAAAAAAGGGAAATCTTAAGCATTTGGTTATGATTTTAATGATATCAAATTGTATTTAAAAGATATGCTCAAAAGGAATAGGGTGGTTTATTCCATTCAAGGTGGTCACATGCCCTACTAAAATAACACAAGCACTCTGGAACTTTACGTTATTTTTGATCAATTATGGAATACGTCACTCAAAGAGAAGCAAGACTGTATCTATCTACATGCTCTTATGTATCCCAATTTTCACCATATGTTTCTATATGGCCGAGTCAGTTATGGTGTTGAAATTACTCTTCTGTCAACCTCATGAGGCTATTTTTAAAAGCATAAGGGAATATCTACAATAGTCTAAATATTTAGGGGGGGGGGGGGGGT